AGGAGAATGGAGGAGAAGGGATTGCAGCGTGTCTATCCCCCCTGGGGGGTGATTTCTCGCTTTCTGTCTCTATGTCTCTCTCTGTCTGTCTGGCGAGTGCACACGCCCTACAGTGAAAATCTCTCCCAAAAGAAAAAAAACAAAGAGACATACTTGGTAATTCATTAGTGATATCCATCTTTCTACAACGATGGTGAATGCCATCTCAAAGAATACTGGGGATTGGTTTTTTATTTAAACTTATATGTAACTGGTTATATGAAAATATAAATGCGAGAGAAATCCCTTCAATTCTCAAAACTAAGCAGACTCAGACAATGCACAGTGTATTTTGGATGGAAAATTCATTTGTGTGTTGGGATGGTGTAAAGAGAATTAATAAATAAATTAATTAAAAAAAAAAACTAAGCAGACTCACTTGTGTTTTAATTTGTGTCCATTAACCCTTTACAGGCAATGTCTGAAGATAAGGAAGACAAAAAAAAAAAAAAAAAGATAAGGGAGTCAAGTCACCTTTCTCTATTTGGTTATAACTCTGCCAATCTAATGGGAATTCCCTGTATCCAAAACACTGTTTTTTACTTATTGAAAGACATTTTAGTGTGATTCTTGTATACTAGCCATTTTAGTATATACAAATAAAGAATATGCAACACTTTTTAAAATAAATAAATAAATAAAATAAAATAACAGGAATTGGAGACCAACTGGTGGCATGGTGGCTAAGGGCATTGGACTCCCACATGGCTGACCATGGTTTGAGTCACAGATCTGTTGACTTGCGCTCTCTCCCTCTCTCACTCTGTCCCTCTCTGGTCGAATTAAAATACATAAATAAGGAGTCAGCAGGTGACATGGTGGTTAAGGGTGCTAAATTCCCACATGACTGACAACAATTTGAATCCTGGACCAGGTGGCTTGCTCTCTCCCTTTTTCTTTCTCTCTCTGTCTCTTTCTGGTCAAATTACAAATAATAAAGACAAGTGGAATAAAATAAATAAATACATAATTTTAAATACATACATAAATAAATAAAGTTAAATAAAATAATTCTTTAAAAAGGGGGAGGCAGGAGGTTGCATGGTCATTAAGGGCGCTGGACTCCCACATGGCCGGCCATGGTTCAAGTTAAACAAAATAATTCTTTAACAAAAAAGTAATAAAATAAAATAACAGAAATTATGCCACTCCAATGGGCTGGTAGATCAGGGAGCTGGATTCCCACATGGCCAATAGGAAGGTGAGTTTTGGAGTCAAGTGCTCGAAAAACACACTTTGTGTGCATATGTGCCCCAAATCCTAACAGGGTGGAGAAATGTAGAAGAAGGAATTGCAGCATGGCCATCTCCATTAGGGAGCAGTTTTTTCCTCTCCCTCTTCCTGTCCCTTTCTCTCTCTCTCTCTCTTACAAGTGCATGCACCTTCTGACAAAATTTTAAAAATAAAGGTAACAGAAATTTATTCTCTCACAGTTATGAAGGCCATAAATCTGAAGTCAAGTATCAGCAGGGCCTTGCTCCCTCTGTGGGCTCTAATGAAGTGTTTGTCCTCACTTCGAGCTTCTGGTGCCTCAGGTTGTATCCCTCCAAAGATCTTTCAGCTACAACAAAGATCTTTTAGGTATGAAGTGCAGCTCCAAGAGTGGAGTCATTCTGCCAAAGAACTTTCTGATATTCCATGCATGGGTTGAGATTTACAGTGAAAAATTACATGCTTATCTCTGAAAGAGAGCTTCATTCCACAATCCATTAACACACACTGTAAAACTACTTACAAAACCAAACACTGAGCTAGAGATAAACTGTCTTCATATGTTGTTCAGCTTCTAAAGTAAGTGGTTGCGTCCCTCCATCTTCACTCAGTATCTGTCTGTGTCTGTCTTCACTCAGTCTCTGTATCCTCTCCTGTCTTTTTTTTTTTTTTTTTTTTTGAGAGGTTTTCACTATAGGGTGCGTGCGCTCGCCAGACAGACAGAGAGAGACATAAAGACAGAAAGCGAGAAATCATCCCCCAGGGGGTATGGTCACGCCGCAATCCCTTCTCCTCCATTCTCCTCTCAGGATCTTGGGCATGCACGCACATGCGCCCAGTGTGTTTTAAGCCACCAGGTCTGGGACGCGAACCACAGTCGACTATGTGGGAGTCCAGCGACATAGCCATTACGCTAACTGCTGGTTCCCTCCTCTCCTGTCTTTATAAGGACACCAGTCATTGAATTTAAGACCCACCCTAATCCTCATTCAACATCTGCAGACACCCTATTTCCAAATAAGATCACATTCCAAGGTTCCAGTTGGGTGCAAATTTGGGAGTGACGCTATTCAGCTCTCTGCACCTGGTACACCATGGAAAGGAATGGCCTACGGTGATACATCAGAAAGTAAAGACAGTGGGATAGAAACTGCATGGAAAGTGGGACTGGTCAAATTGCTGCAGGACACATACCCCTTAGGATCTCCCCTCCCAGCCACTAGGGAGTTCAGGCATTACATAGCCCGGCTGGGGCATTCTGAGACTATAACAGAGGACATACCCAAAGGAGCTGCAGGTTTGCAAGCGTCCATGGAGGACTGGATGCAGAGGATGCTGACAAAGAGCAGGAAGCTCATTTGGATAAGGGGGACTGTATTGCTTTGGGGGTGCTGTCACAGGAGACTGGATTTATCACCCCAGCATAGAGACAGTGTGAGCACACTGCTAAGCTGGCTCTGAGCAGCATGAGCAAGAGGATGGCCTACACTAAGTTAGGCCAACTGTGGAAGAAGATTTCAATGGCTCAGAGAGGGAGCCATGCTGCAATCCACATCTTCTAGAAGGCTGGAAGCCCCCAAGTGACTGGGTTCCTTGGGGAGACCGGGAGAGGATACCATTTGCCAGGTCAGTCAGAAAGTAGCAGTGGAGGTGTCACAAAGAAGTAAAATGGTGCCTGATGGCAGGGATGATGTCCTAGCACCAGGAGCACTGCCATCCAGCATGAGGGACTCCAAAACAGCAGAGACCCAGTGGTGGCATTTAACTGTCAGAAACTAGGGAGTTGGAATCCTAGTGATCAGCAAAGACAGAGCAGCAGCCAGGGAGATCCCATGCATAGAGGACTGTGGAGATGGTTCCAAGGACGAGATGTCTCCAGGGGCAAACTAGATGGAGAAGCAGCAGGAGTGCCACCCCAGGCTGTACGACTAAACACGGCAAAGGACAGACCACGAGGAGATCGTGGCAACAGCCTTAGCAAACGGAATGACCTCTGGCCCAGCGGCCGTGCCTGAGACAGCATTTGAACCTAGAACCCTTTGACAGAGGAACACTCAGTCCCCAGGAGAAAGACCTTGTGATCCACAGCAAATGTATACAGTGTGAATTCCCCTAGCTGTCCCCAAAGGAACCGATGGCATTATTTGGATAGTGGGGAGGGAGGAACACACAGACATTTCTGGGATCTCTGGGCAAACCATCTGAGCTCATGTCACTCCTCAGAGACCCAGCGTCACCTTGCATCTCTCAGAGTGGGATGAAGTGGAGGTCAGGTAACAAAAGGTGTCCTGGCCCCGTTTGGCTCACAGTGGGTTTACTGGGTGAGTGAACACTGGTCATTTCCCTGGTCTCTGAAGGTATGGCTGGAATATAGACGCTTGATATTTGATGCAGTCCCCTGATTAACTCTGACTTGTGGAGCAAGAACTTCACAGTGGGGCTTTCTGACCACATGACTGGCTGCCAAGATGGTGCGGAAAGACAAGAAGCCTAAGAGGTCAACCTGGAAGTTTAGTTTGGACCTTACTCATCCAGTAGAAGATGGAATTTTTGACTCTGGAAATTTTGAACAGCTTCTGTGGGAAAAGGTTAAAGTCCATGGGAAAACTGGCAACCTTGGAAATGTAGTTCACATTGAACACCTCAAGAATAAAATCACAGGGACCAGCAGTTAGCGTAATGGCTATGTCGCTGGACTCCCATGTAGTCGACTGCAGTTCGCGTCCCAGACCCGGTGGCTTAAAACTCACACCGGGTGCATGTGCTTGCATGCCCAAGATCCCGAGAAGAGAATGGAGGAGAAGGGATTGAGGTGTGGCCATCCCCCCTGGGAAGTGATTTCTCGCTTTCTGTCTCTCTGTCTCTCTCTGTCTGTCTGGCGAGTGCACGCTCCTTATGGCAAAAACCTCTCAAAAAAAAAAAAAAAAAAGAATAAAATCACAGTTGTTTCCGAGAAACAGTTCTCTAAAAGGTATTTGAAATACCTCACCAAGAAATACCTTAAGAGGAACAACCTTCATGATTGGCTTCGTGTGGTTGCACCTGACAAGGAGACACAAGCTTCATTGCTTCCAGATTAGTCAAGATGAAGAAGGGTAAGAGTCTGAGGACTAGTTGAAGCCTCACCTTTCCGGGCTTTGCTTACTAAGTAAAACATGCAGGATACATGAGGAAGAACCATCTGGAAATAGACTTTTAGTTTATTAATGAATAAAAATCACAGCTTGTAAAAAAGAAAAGAAAAGAAAAGAAAAGAAATCTCGTGTGAACCTGAAACTGCTGCCCTGACAAGATAGAACTATAGCCCTGGAGGGGGCAGCAATTAATGCCACTCTTATAGACTTTTAAAATGTATTTATTATTTTTTAAAGAATTATTTTTATATAACTTTATTTTAATTTGACCAGAGAGGGACAGAGAAAGAGGGAAAGTGAGAAAGCACCAGGTCCAGGACTCAAACCACGGTTGGCCATGTGGGAGTCCAGTGCCCTTAACCACCATGCCACCTGCCAGCCCCTATTATTATATTTTTAGTTTGCTATAGGGCACATGTGCTCACCAGAGAGAGACAGAAAGAGAGAAAGAGAGAGAGAGAACAAGGGAAAGTGAGAAAGCAAGCTGCAAGGTTTGGGACCCGACCATGTGGGAGTCCAATACCTTAACCACCCCACCACCTGCTGGCCCAATGTCATCTTAGTTAATTTTTTTAGAGAGATTGTTACTATAGGACATGTATGTTCACTAGAAAGACAGAGAGACAGAAAGCAAGAAATCACCCTCTGGGGGGAGATGGCCATGCTGCAGTCCCCTCTCCTCCATTCTCCTCTTGGGATTTTGGGCACACATGCACATGTGCCCAGCGTGAGTTTTAAACCGCATCCAAAACTTGAACTGCTGTCAACTATGTGGGAGTCCAGAAAGATAACCATTATGCCATCTGCTGGTCCCTCAATGCCATCTCTTTTTTTTTTTAAGAATTATTTTATTTAACTTTATTTATTGTTCTTATTTTAAGTAGACAAGAGGGGGAGGAGAGAGAGAGAGAGAGAGAGAAAGTGAGAAAGCAAGCTGCCAGATCCAGATTAGAACTGTGGTCGGCCATGTGGGAATCCAGTGCCCTACCACCACACCACCTGCTACCCCCCATGCCATCTTAAAAGACCTAAAGGAGGGCCAGAGGTGGGGTGATGATTAAGGCAATTCACATCCAGCCCACATGGCCAGCTGTGTGGTTCAAGTCCTGGACCTGACAGCTTGAAAATGGTGCTGGGCACATGTGCATACATACCCCAAATCCTGAGAGAACAGTGGAGAAGGGATTGCAGCATGGCCGCAGCCCCCAGAGGTGCTTCCTCACTTTCCCTCTCTCTCTGCAATGAGTGCACTCACCCGATGGCAAAAATCTTTAAAAATAGGAACTCTAAGGGAGGGCCATCCAGGTTGCGTGGTGGTTAAGGAGGCTGGATCCCACATGATCATCTGTGTGGTTCAAGGCCCAAATCTAGTGGCTTGGAAAACACACCAGGGGCCTGTGAGTATGAAGTCCCAAAAGGAAGATGGAGAAGGGATCACGGTGTGGGCATCCCCCCTGGAGAGTGCTTTCTAACTTTGCCTCTCTCTTTCTCTTGCAAGTGCATGTGCCCTACAATAAATCCAAAAAAACATAGCAAATCAAGAGAGAGAGAAAGCAAAAGGATGGAAAATGAATCTCTAAGTACCACAAGTTTGATGACTTATTTTAAAAATTCTGAATAAAAACATTTTCTTTTTTACTTTTTTTTTTTTTTTGGAAAGGTTTTTTTTTGCTATAGGGTGCATGTGCTCGCCAGACAGACAGAGAGAGACAGAGAGACAGAAAGCGAGAAATCACCCCCCGGGGGGATGACCATGCTGCAATCCCTTCTCCTCCATTCTCCTCTCGGGATCTTGGGCACGCACGCACACGCGCCCAGCGTGAGTTTAAGCCACTGGGTCCGGGATGCAAACTGCGGTCGACTACATGGGAGTCCAGCGACATAGCCATTACGCTAACTGCTGGTCCCTCTTTTTTTTTCATTATTTTTTTTTATTTGCTAGAAGGTGCAGGGGCTCACGAGAGGGACAGACGGCATAGAGAGAGGGAGAGGTAAAAACATCCCCCATGGGACGGGGTACACTACAATCCTTTTTCTTCCATCTCTCCCTACCTTCAAGATTTGGGGCAACACGCTCATGCACCTGGCATGTTTCTTGAGCTCCCAGGTCTGGGACTTCGGTCATGTCGTTTGCCATGTGGAATTTGGCCTCTTTAACCACTGGGACATGAAGTCAGTATTTAATTATTTATTTTCATACTTGGGAGTCTATAAGTATGAAACTAATTTTGTAATAGGTTTTTTTTTTATTTTAAGAATTATTTTACTGGGACCAGCAGTTAGCATAATGGCTATGTTGCTGGACTTCCACACACTGCGCTGCGGTTCGAGTCCAGACCCGGTGGCTTAAATTCATGCCGGGTGTATGTGCATGTGTGCCCAGATCCTGAGAGGAGAATGGAGGAGAAAGGATTGTGGCATGGCCATCCTCCCTAGGGGGTGATTTCTCACTTTCTATCTCTCTGTCTCTCTCTGTCTTTCTGGCGACCACACACACCCTATGGCAAAAACCTCTCCAAAAAAATAATTATTTTATTTAACTTTATTTATTTATTTATTTATTTTCATTTTTCCAGAGAGGGGCAGAGTGAGAGCAAGAGTGAGAGCGAGTGAGACAGAGAGAGAGAAAGTGAGAAAGCAAGCCTCCAAAATCTAGATCTGGGCTGGCCATGGCTTGTGGTTAAGAGACCCAGGTCATCTTACATGGCCAACCATGCAGTTTGAATCTTGGCCCCAGCAGCTTGGAAAACATGCCGGCATGTGTGTACACACTCAAAATCTTTTTAAATTTAATTTAAAATTTAATTTAATTTAATTTTAATCTGACCAGAGCGAGATAGATAGGGAGAAAGCGAGAGAGACAGAAAATGAGAAAGCAAGCCACCAGGTCCAAGAATTGAACAGTGATCAGCCATGTGGGAGTCCAGTGCCCTTAATCACCATGCCACCTGCTGGCCCCCATGCTCAAAATCTTGACACTGTGGGGAAATGGAGAAGGAATTGTAGCTTGACCACACCCCACTGGGGGTGCTTTCTCTCACTCCCTCTCTATGTCTGTCTCTCTCTGCAAGTGCAAGCACCCTCTAAATAAACCATCTAAAACCCTATAAATAAAAGGATCTTCCATGGGCCACCAGGTGGCACTGTGGTTGAGGTGCTGGACTCCAACTTGGCTGACCACAGTTTGAGTCCTAGACCTGGTGGCTTGTTTTCTCACTTTCCCTCTCTCTGGTGAGCTCATATGCTCTATGGCAAATTAAAGGGGAAAAAATGGTAAAAATTTAAAAATTTTGTAAAGATTTTTGTTGTAGGGCATGTGCCCTTGCCAGAGAGACAGAAAGAGACAGAGAGACAGAAAGAGACAGAGAGACAGAAAGAGACAGAGAGACAGAAAGAGACAGAGAGACAGAAAGAGACAGAGAGACAGAAAGAGACAGAGAGACAGAAAGAGACAGAGAGACAGAAAGCGATAAATCACCCCCCAGGGGGGATGGCCACGCCACAATCCCTTCTCTTCCATTTTCCTCTCAGGGTCTTGGACACACACACACGCATGTGTGCCCAGCGTGAGTTTTAAGCTGTCAGGTCCGGGACTCAAAGTGCTGTTGACTACATGGGAGAGAGTCAAGTGACATAAGCATTACACCATCTGCCAGTCTCCTAAAAAATAAATAATTAAAAAAAGATCTGCCTCTGTTTTTTTAGAATTTTTAAAAATTTAATTTCATTATTTTTAAGGGAAATTTTTTTTACTATAGGGTGCATGCACTCACCAGAAAGACAGAAAGTGAGAAATCACCTCCCAGAGGGAATGGCTATAGCACAATCCCTTCTCCATTCTCCTCCTGGGATCTTAGGCATACAGGCACACACACCCGGCATGAATCTCAAACCACCTGTTCCAGGACTTGAACTGTGGTTAACTACGTGGTAGTCCAATGATGTAGAGGCCGCAGCTGTCAGGGACATCCCTGACAAGTATTTTCAATGCCTATGTGCGCCCCAAGCTGTATGTGGAGATGCATTACTGTGTGAGTTGTGCCATTCACAGCAAGGGAGTCAGGAACCCATCTCGTGAAGCTCAGGAGGACCAACACCCCCACCCCGATTTAGACCTGCGGGTGCTGCCCCTCACCCTCCACCAAAGCCCATGTAAGGAGCTGGGTCTTTAAGGACTGAAGAACTGTCCTCTGGGGGGAAAAAACTGAAATTATACATTTTTTAAAAAATTACCTAGATCTATACTCCCCGAGGTTTATCAAACATCCAAATACACTGAATACCAAGATGGGTGGCTCTCCACAACAGAACCAGCAGTGAGCACGTACTCAGCTTGGAATATTCTTCCTCCACTTCCTGGCAGCCCAGGGGACCTCAGCCCCATTTATGCCATCAGCTCTATTGGGCATCAGCTCCCTGCTGCCCTCCAGTGGACTTCAGGTGACAAGACACTGCATGGGCTTACAGGGTGTGTCCACTTTCTCACGTTGCCGAAACCATTGTTCAGGTTTATTAGAACTGCTCTAAGCGCCTGGGTCTTTGCCAGGGCCTCTGAAAACCTGGAGTGAAACTAGTTATTCATTGGGAACTCTCGGTGGGTGGCTGCCGTTTTCCCCATATCACATGCCCAGGCAGCTTTCTGAAGGGCAGCCAAGGCCATGTGAATGTGTAGGGGCACACACACGCACACACTCTCCCTCCCCAGAGACACAGCTACACTCATGCAGGCCCAGACCAAAAGTGAAACCAGGGAAGACAGCACCTAAGCTAGGTTTGTTCTTCTTCTTCTTCTTCTTTTTTAAGAGGCTTTTACCTTAGGGCGCATGTGCTCACTGGAGAGAGGGAGAGAGACAGTGAGAGGGAAAGTAACAATCACCTCCTGGGGCGGGCAGGCGATGGCCATGCCACAATTCCTTCTCCTTCATTCTCCTCCTGAGATCTCGGGC